AGTTTATCATCAAAGAAGGATTTCTCTAATGAACTTTGGTGTCTAGTTCCAGAGGGCGGAGTGTGGGTGCTGCAGTATTGCTTGTCGTAGCCTAATGTGGCTAGTAACCATCATAAGTAACTTGATCATTTGTTCAAAATTAATATTTCATTTCAGATTGTTGTACATGGGAAGTTGATATCATCAGCAGCACTAAACATCAACTCATAATGTGTCCCAGGAGAGCCAACTTCGACATGCATTTGACAGTCAACTGCAATATCAGTTTGGTTTATTTGCTTATAGCTTTAGGAGCATATATAGTGTATAAATACTATTGGGATTATGTACCTGGTTTTGGTAATTTTTAGTCTATTACTTTTATGTCTTATGTAGCTAAAGTTACATAATAAGAGTCAATATGTGTACATAGAAGTTTTATATGTATATGGCTGTAGAAACTGGGCTCGTCAAATGTTGGTAATGTTGGTGTTTAAAGTATGGTCATTTTGAAAGAGTTAAAATGAAATGAAATGATGCCTAAAAATAGAATACTGGAGTCAGATTCTCTCTTGAAATCAGAAGCCTTAGTCAAATTGGAAGAAGTGGATGCCATCGACAATGAGCCTAACAGTGCTGCAGGCTATTGTAAGGGAGGAGTCGAATGGAATTACTCTCCTTTTATTTCTGTCCCAGAAAATTCCTTTGGACAGCCAGAAGTAAATAGAATTGACACTCATTTAAGATGTGTGAAGTCAGAACTGGGAGAATATGTGTGCAGCATTTGTGGGCTGGAAACTGGCACTGCTTCTCGTCTGAGGAGGCACTTGAAGATCCATGCCAAAGATAAAACACATCATTCTTGTATTCCCAATGATGGGACATTGAACAGCTTTAAAAACTGTTTTTCAAAAACTACACAAAAGTCATCCTTTAGGAATCACAAAAAAAATCATGATAGGATAAAGGAATTTAAATATGAGGAATGCCCTGCAGCCTACATTAATCAACCACAGCTGGAAGACCATACTATTAAACATGCCAATGAAAAGACATATCATGATCAGGAATATGGAGAAGGGTTTGCCACAGCCACAAGCCTTAATTACCACCAGGTTACCCATACTGCGGAAAGCCCTTACCAGGGTGAAGTCTATGGAGAAACATTGCAAGAAAAGACTGCTCACATAACCCATAAGTCTGTCCATCTTACCCGTGGGCCTTATATATGCAATATGTGTGGTGAGATGTTTCCCAGGATAAATAGTCTTACACTTCATCAAAGAGTTCATCAAACAGATAGCACCTATAGCTATGTTCCTCAGAACTGCAAACCAATCAAGGAAACCGTTCAGGAAAGTAGAAAGGAATCACCTCAGTCATTTCCCTCTACATCTGATATTCTCTTTAAGAATACATACACACAAAATGAAAATAAGCCTCCAGTAGGGGAAGAAAATCCATTTCAGGAAGAGACACATGAAGCAAAAAAATCGAATTCAAGGAATGTTACTTTACAAAACTTTCAGGAAGATATCCCCATTTCAAGCACAACAGAGGCCATGGCCAACTTTAAAGTGCAAGGAGAGAAATATACATTTGCTGGGAATGTCTTGAATGTCCCCCATCCCGACATTGTCCAGGAGGCATTAGCAACTGGGACGCTACTTGAGAGCCAGGGAGAAGATGGACAAATCTATCTGATTGTTCTTCCTAGAACTATTTCAGAGCAAGACTACACACATGTTACTTTGCCTTCAAAAATACCTTCAGTAACAGCACCTTCCCCGACATCAGGAATGGACACAGTTTCACAACAGAATCAAGGCCCTGAAGAGAATTCTTGTAATTTGCTAATGTGGGACAATGAATTAAATATTGCAGAAGTTTCTTTAAAACCAGATTCTGAAGTAGAGAAGTCTGACAAGAGTAAGAACAAAGAAGAATATGTGGAAGAGGATTCATCTTCAAAAGAAAATGAATCACATGCCAGTAGTAAGAAGTTTGTATCAACCAGAATTAAACAAAAGGGAAAATCTAAAGAGAAAAAGGTATATACATATGAGTGTAAAATCTGTGGGAGAAAATGCAAGAATTCCTCAAGCTATGTTATACATATGAGAACACACACAGGTGAAAGGCCATATTACTGTGGCTATTGTGGCATAGGTTTCAAACAGGTAACTCACTTAAAAAGCCACATACGCATTCATACTGGAGAGAAACCATACAAATGTAGCCAGTGTGATGCTGCCTTTCACCAGAGCTCTCAATTGCATGCTCATTTTAAGACCTGGCACATAAGAAAGCATGAGAGGATGAGAGAGAAGGTCAGAGTCAGAGGTAGTATTCAGAATTTTTATTGCAAAATATGTGATAAAACATTTATTAATTCATGCTTCAAAAAGCAACATATGAAAACGCATACAGATGAATTGCAATATATATGTAACAAATGTGAGGCCACATTTAAAACAAAAAGTAGGTTGCACAGACATGAGAAGTTGCACATACATGATAGTTCTAAGATCTGTGAATTATGTGGACTTCATTTCAAGGATGTAAGTTCTCTTAATCACCATAGACTTGCAATACATGATTTATCCAAAGAGGAATCAGATATAACTAGAGTTCTTGATGAAAAGAATCTGGGTAAAAGAAATGAAACTGAAACTTCAAATGATGGTGATTCCTGTGGTTCCCTTGCAATGTTAATCACACAAATATGATGGGTAAAGAATCCTGTGATTAGAACATACCAATGATACAAGAAATCCTCAACTAGATTGTGAATTATGTGGACTTCATTTCAAGGATGTAAGTTCTCTTAATCACCATAGACTTGCAATACATGATTTATCCAAAGAGGAATCAGATATAACTAGAGTTCTTGATGAAAAGAATCTGGGTAAAAGAAATGAAACTGAAACTTCAAATGATGGTGATTCCTGTGGTTCCCTTGCAAATGTTAATCACACAAATATGATGGGTAAAGAATCCTGTGGATTAGAACATACCAATGATATCAAGAAATCCTCAAAAAATGTCCAGACCCATTCTTGCAAAATATGTCGTAAAACATTTAAGCAGAAGACAAATCTAAATACTCATATGAGAGTGCATACAGATGAAAGGCCATTCAAGTGCGAAGAGTGTGGTAGTGCCTTTCACCAGATATCTCATCTTAAAGATCATGTAAAGATACATTCAGGTGAGAAGCCCTTCAAGTGCAGTGTGTGTTTGGCTCTATTTGTCCAGTCTTCAGCAGCAAAAACACACATAAAAAAACATCATAGTGGTCAAGCCATTGTCATTAAGAAGGAAAGAAGTGATTTCCTTGCCAAGGAATCAATTATTTTACAGGAGATACCAAAGAGTGATGATGACAACACAGTTGTGATTAACATTGCAAGTTCTGCCTCACTTTCAGTAGAGGTTCAGATTGAGAGAAATGAACTGGGACTCTTTGAAGAAGGTGAAAAAGATGCTGGAGTTCAGAAAAAAATAGAAAGGAAGGTCCTGTATACCAGGATAGGAAAAAGAGTATAAGTTTATCCCATGATTACAAGAAGAATGCCAGCAAAATAAAAGAAATGGAAGTAAGTTTGATTCCGTTATTAAGAGAGGCAACTAATTTTTGCATCATATGTCAAAAGACCTTTAGAAGAAAATCTGCTCTAAAGTTTCACGTGAAGATGTCCCACACCCATGGGAACAAAAGGGACATGGGGGGAATATTTTGTATGTAAACCAGAATATCAAACCAGTCAACAATATAGAAATTGTAAACTCCTCAAAGTGATGGTCAGTGTCAAGAAATTCAAATGTTGATTTTATAGTTCATAGGGCCTGAATGATTTGAAAGCATACCCAAAATGTAGGAATGCCAGAAGAAAATGTCCTAGTTTCACTCAAGAGATAGACCTTGATGTGTGTGTCAGAAGATGAGAGTAAATACCTTCTAGAGACTTTGTAAGTGTAAACAAAAGGGTCATGAAACCAGAAGTCAAGAACATGTATTCATTTTGTTATTATTTTTGTTTGTCTGTTTTTAGGTAATGAAAATAAATGATCATATTCAGAGTTAGTGTAATAAAGAAGGTTTAAGATGAAAGAAGATGCAGTAATTTTATTTAGATGGATGTTAATTTAATTTAGAGGACTAAACTTTCTTATAAAGGTTAAAGATATAGTTTCCATATTGCTAGAGGAACAATAAATAATGTTATTATATGCAATATCTAAATGTGCAATTTATTTATTACATTTTATATACATATCACTTAGTTGTCAGAATCACATGTCAAAGTAACAATCTTTGGGTGTTTTATAACAATCAAAATGTAAGTACAGTAAAACAAATATGTATTTTTTGTTAATCATTTGCTTGTGAATCATGCATATTTCAGGTATAGATTCCCATGCTCAGCTCAGCTAAGATTGTCTTGTTTTTTTGAATTGAGAAAATAATTATAACTTTTTTATCTTATGTTTTACTTTTTTCATTGAGACTATATATCAGATGTGTGAAATATACACTACATTGAGGAAAATATACTTAGTGATGCCCAGAGAAAGTATCTAATATATATATATATATATATATGTATATGTATATATATATATATATATATATATATATATATATATATATATATATATATATATATATATATATATATATATATATATATATATATATATATATATATATATATATATATATATATATATATATTTAGCATTTCCATTTTGAAATGCAGAAAATATTAAATATCAGTTTATATCCGTTTTCATTATATTTCATGGTTTTTGGATTTATCAATGCTTGAGCTTTATTTGACTGCATTGAGTGATATCTGTGATAATAGTTGCTACTGCAAGAATAAGAGAGTTGTTCATTTGATTTAGATAAATCTTCTTACCATAATGCAAAATGTTGGACCGAATTGTTTTTGCTTCCAATTGAATTTTGTTTCTGCATATAAGATGTGCATTTCATTGAAGAGGCTTTGCTTGTT